AGACAGAGAGAAAGGTCTTCCTTTGCCGTTGGTTCACCCTCCAATGGACGCCATGGCGCTGCGGCCGGCACACCACGCTGATCTGAAGGCAGGAGCCAGGTGCTTCTCCTGGTCTCCCATGGGGTACAGGGCCCTAGCACTTGGGCCATCCTCCACTGCCTTCCCAGGCCACAGCAGAGAGCTGGCCTGGAAGAGGAGCAACCGGGACAGAATCCGGCGCCCCGACCAGGACTAGAACCCGCTGTGCCGGCGCCGCTAGGTGGAAGATTAGCCTATTGAGCTGCAGCGCCGGCCACAACATAATTTTTTAAAATTACTTTGGTATTTATTTATTTGAGAAGTAGAGTTACAGACAGTGAGAGGAAGAGACAGAGAGAAAAGTTTTCCGTCTACCGGTTCACTCCCCAAATAGCCGCAATGGCCAGAACTGCGCCAATGTGAAGCCAGGAGCCAGGAGCTTCTTCCTGGTCTCCCACATGGGTGCAGGGGCCCAAGGACTTGGGCCATCTTCTACTGCTTTCCCAGGCCACAGCAGAGAGCTGGATCAGAAGTGGAGCAGCCGGGACTAGAACTGGTGCCCTTATAGGATGCCGGCACTGCAAGTGGAGGCTTTACCCACTATGCTACAGTGCTGGCCCAACAACATAATTTGAAAAATAAGCAAAAGGGGGCTAGAATTGTGGTACAGCAAATTAAGCCACTTCCTGCAGTGTCGGCATCCCATATGAGCGCTGGTTCAAATCCCGGCTGCTCCACATCTGATCCAGCTCCCTGCTAATGTGCCTGGGAAAACAGCAAAAGATGGTCCAAGTACATAGACCCCTGCCATCTACATGAGAGACCCGAATGAAGTTCCAGGATCCTGGCTTAGGCCTAGCCCAGATTCAGTCATTGTGGCCATTTGGGGAATGAACCAGAGGATGGAAGATATCTCTTCTCTCTGTAACTGCCTTTCATATAAATAAATAAACTTTTATTAAAAATTGGCAAAAAGCAGGAACAAACACCTCATCAAAGAAAACATAGCTAGCAAATAAATACAGATGCTCCTGAACTTATGAAAGTTCAACTAATTAATGAGTTTTCGACTTTACAGAGTACAAAAGTGATATGCATCTAGCAAACCATACCATGCTGCTTGAAGAATTAGATGTGTTAAATGCATTTTCAATTTACTATGCTTTCAACCTATAATGAGCTTCTCAGGACCTAGCCCCATGGAAATAAGTCAAGGAGCTTCTACATATAAAAGATGCTCAATATAGTGTGGCATGAAGGAATTGCAACCTAAAATGAGATGGCCCTCCACACATATTAAAATGGAAAAATCCAAAATATTGAAGGTACAAAATTCTGGCAAGGATGTGGAGCAACAGGAGCCCTAATCCATTGTTGGTAGGAATGCAAACTTGGGAAGACAGTGTGGCAGGGTCTTCCAAAACTAAACATATTCTTACTATACGATCCAGCAATTGTGTGCAATCTACACAAAAACCTGCACACAGATGTTTAGAGCAGATTTGTTCACAGCTGTCAAAACTGGGGAGCAATCAGGATGTCCCCCAGCAGGTGAATGGATAATGAAATACTACTGAGCAAGAGAAAGCAATGAGCTCCCAAGCCAGAAAAAGACGTGGAGGAAACTTTAAGGCATATTACGAGGGGAAAGAAGCCAATCAGAAAAGGTTGCACACCATGTGAGTCCTGCTTGCCACACCCTGGGAAAGGCAAAACTATGGAGATATTTAAAAATCTAGGGTATCCAGGTTTGGGAGAGGAATGTGTAGGTGGAGCACAGAGGATTTTTGGGACAGTGAAACTTCTTTCTGAATGATGCTGTAATGATGGATACATCTCGTTAACCGAGCAACTTCAAAAAGCTTGTGGAAGATGGAATTAGAGATATGTTTATTTTGGGATGGGCGTAGTGGAGCAGCAGGTTATGCTACTGCTTACAACATCTGCATCCCATATTAGAGTGCCAGTTCGAGTCTCAGCTACTCCGCTACAATCCTGGGAAGCAACAGATACTGGCTTAAGTACTTGAGTCCCTGCACCCAGGGAGGAGACCCGGATGGAGTTCTTAGCTCCTGACCTCAGCTGTTGTGGCCATTTGGGGAGTGAATCAGTAAATAAACGATCTCTCTTCCTCTGTCACTCTGAATTTTGAACAAATAAATAAATCTTTGTTTTTTAGAGATATTTATTTTAGTGCAAAGAAATTTTGGGATCCATGTATATGCAATATCTTCAAAAAGTTCATAAAAGTGTGTATTATAAAGTACATGGCTTTTAAAAACACTTTTGCAACAAAACACACTTATCCTTTTAATTCCCTTTTTCCATGAGCTTTTCTGCTTGCATATATGTTTCCAAATCCATGGAGTGTCTAACACCGAGAGTGAACCCTGATGTAGACAACAGGCCTCAGGTGTGGGCTCATCTACTGTGACAAGGGTGCCAGCTTAGTGCAGGGTGTTGGCAGGGGGTGGCCCTCCACTCAGTGCTCGATTGTGCTGTGAACCTAAATGTGCTCTAAAAACACGAAACCCCTGGCAGTCTCAGGGCTGGAGTAGTTCACCAGGATCTGCCGTGAGCTCGGCCCCTGGCAGGGGTGCAACTGCCGGAGGGGCAGGTGCTGTGCTTCGTGGGCGCAGCCTGTGGCCTTCGCAGCAGCACGCTCAGAAGCAGCACCTCGTGTCTTCCTGAAGTGAACACAGCAGAGGCTGCAGGACGCCGCGGCTGAGGCTGACCCCTTTGGCAGGTGTCGTCCTGCCCTCCCTCTCTGCCCTCACAGACACCCAGGGACTGTGCAGGTATGGAGATGCCTCGGGAGGGAGAAGCTCAAAGCTTTGTGAACTTACAACCCCGGAGAGAAGACTGAATTCCAAAGCTGGCTTAACTCACGTCCCTTCCCCCTCTTTAGGCTTCTGTTTTCCCAATAAAAGAGAAAGAAAATTGGGGCCCATGTTGTGGCTTAGCAGGTTAAGCCACTGCCTGCAGTGCCGGCATCCCCATATGTGCACTGGTTCAAGTCCCGGCTGCTCCACCTCCAATCCAGCTCCCTGCTAATGTGCCTGGGAAAACAGCTGAAGATGGCACTTGGGCCCCTGCCCCCATGTGAGAGACCTGGATGGAGTTCTAAGCTCCTGACTTAGGCCTGGCCCAGTCCTGGCTATTGTGGCCATTCTGGGAGTAAACCAGCAGATGGGAGATATTTCTCTCTCTCTCTCTCTCTCTCTCTCTCTCTCACTCACTCTCCCCCCCCCCCCCAAATAAATAATTAAAAAAGAAAGTGATTTTAGATGTATTGGAACATTTTCCAGTTCTGAGCATCTATGATCTTTTTTTTTTTTAGATTTATTTATTTATTTGAAAGAGTTACAGAGACAGAGAGAGAGAGAGAGATTTTCCATCCACTGGTTCACTTCCTAGATGGCTACATCAGCCATGGCTAGAACCCGAGAGCTTGTTCCAGTTCACCCACGTGGGTATGGGGCCTCAAACACTTGGGCCATCTTCCACTGCTTTTCCTAGGCCATTAGCAGGGAGCTGGATAGGAAGCGGAACAGCTGGGACATGAACCAGCACTTACATAGCATGCCAGTGTTGCAGGAGGTGGCTTAAACAGTATGTCATCACTCTGGCCCCGGCGATTTGTCTTTCAGATGCTCCCACAAGCCGTGCTCTCTCTGTGGCGCCTAGGCCTTTGGCCAGCAGGGCCCTCCTCACTGCCTGGTTGCTGCTTGCTGTCCATCTGGCTTCAGCAGAGACATCGCTTCCCTGGCACAGTCCTCTAGACTGCTCTAAACAGAGCCAGCTGCCTCTTCTCCAGGCTCCTGTGAGCCCCATGCACCCTCCATCTCTGTTCATAATGTCTTAAATGGCAGTTTCCTATTTACTTAGCTGTTCCCCGCACTAGACCATGGCTTCTCAGGGAGCAAGGAGAGTGCCCAGTGCTAGGGGGAGTTGCAGGCCACTAACTTCCTTGGGGATGTCCTCAGTTCTGCTCTCCCTGGGAAGTTCCAAATCCATACCCTCTAGGGAGGACTCTACCTCCAGAAATACTCAACCCCTGGGTGCAGCATTGTGGTATACTGGGTTAAGCCACAGCCTGCAATGCCAGCATCTCATATGAGTGCCAGTTTGAGACCTGGCTGCTCTGTGTCTAGCTATCTGGGGGAGTGAACCAGTGGACAGAAGATCTGTCTGTCTGTCTCTCTCTCCCTCTCTGTAACTCTGCTCTCTTTCTATTTTTTTAAAGATTTATTTATTTACTGAAATAGTTACAGAGGGGGCGGGGAGAGAGAGAGAGAAATATCTCATCCACTGGTTTACTCCCCAAATGGCCACAAAAACCAGGACTGGACCAGGCCAAAGCCAGGAGCCAGGAGCCAGGAGCTTCATCCAGGTCTCCCATGTGGTACAGGGCCATCTTCTGCTGCTTTCCCAGGTGCATCAGCCTGGAGCTGGGTCAGAAGCAGAGCAGCCAGGACACAAACCAGTGCCCACCTGATATGTGGCAGCTTTATGCACTATACCACAACACTGTCCCATAACTCTGCCTTTCAAAGAAACACAATACATCTTTTAAAAGGAAATCTTCAGCCCCCAGCTGGAAGTTCTGAGTGGGAAAACATCTTTCATTAGGAAAAGAACAATTTATCTTATTAAGAGAATAGTTACCACTTGAAGCTATTTGCCTGCAATCAATCTTTTAAGAGGGTCTCTTTAAGTGTGATCTGAAGTGCTTGTCTATAAAAATTCATCAGAGGGAGAATCTAGGATTTGGAGTCTTCCAATCCAAGATTCTCTGAACAGCTAAGGCAAAGAACCTGAAAGGGCACGGGTTAGAACAGACCCCTGTGCACCTGGCTTGGAACTTTCCACGTTATTGACAGCAAGGCAAACACTTTGCGTCCTGGCACTTTCCTCCTGCCCAGGGTTGGCTGCTCCCACCCTGCACCTTTGCTCAGCTCCACCCAGTGTCTCCTGGCTGCAGCCTGTCTGCCTGCCGGCCTCAGAGGCAGCTCCAGCTGGGCCGAGATGGGGCTGCCCCGGCCAGGGCTGTGGCTGAAGAGGCTCTGGGTGCTCGTGCAGGTGGCCGTGGAGGTGGCCGTGGGCAAAGTGCTGATGACACTATTTCCGGAGAGAGTTAAGCAGAACATCCTGGCCATGGGCCAGAAGACCGGGATAGCCCAGAACCCCAACTTCGCCCAGGACAGCTGGATTCCCACCTTCTTCAGCACCCAGTATTTCTGGTTCGTCCTGAAGGTTCGTTGGCAGCGACTGGAGGATGCCACTGAGCCAGGAGGTCTGGCCCCAAACTGCTCCGTCGTCCGCCTCTCGGGACAGCAGTGCAGCATCTGGGACTTCATGCGAGGTCAGGAGGGGGTGGGAGGGGCGCTTGCAGCAGCAGAAGTGGAGGGAGGTGGGGGGAGGCAAGTTCTGAACTCTTCTGCTCCTCCTGCTCCTCCTTGGGGGCTACTAGGCCTCTTCCCACTTAAACAAACTAGGAATCCTCCTTGACTTCTCTTTGCCTGAGTGCCATCCTACCTCCCTTGCCACTGGGATCCCAAGCCGTGCCTTTCAGCCTGCAGCCTGTTCAGCCTGGGCTGCTCTGTGGCCGTATCCTCTCCACCCTTCAGGCTCCTCTCTTTATGACACCTGTCGTGGTCTGTAATCATGTGTGGCTGCTGCCCTCACTGGCACACAAACTCGTGCAGCAGAAGCCATCACCCAGACCCATTGTTGTGGCCGGGCCTGCTGCTGGGGCAAAGACTCAATCAGTGCTTGCTGAAGAATGGCCCCGCCTCAGCCCTTGTGTCCAGGCGAGCCAGCTCCATCTGTTTGGCTCTTAAACCTCTCCGATTGCTCTTCTCTCTCTCTTGTCCTTTTAGCTTCTCTTCCTGCCAAGACTTCCCTCTCCCCGTCTCGCCCTCTGTCACCCAACTTAGGAACAGCTGCCAGATTGCTTGTCTCTGTGCACGTCCCAGTCATTCAGCTTCAGGAAGGGCACCAGGCTCAGCCTTGCGGGCGACGTGCCCCTGGCCAGGTGCAGCTCTTCTTCCCATTTTCCCTCCAAGCCTCCTCTCATACTCACTTCCTCTGGGTGACAAGATGGGCTTTGTCCACTCCTGATGGGCACTCCTGGTGCCTTTGCCTTTGCTGATATTGTTGGCTGGTCTGGAATGCCCTTCTCCTCCACCTGGACAGTCTATATCCCCTTCCCTGCATGCCTCCTCCTCCGTGAAGCCACCATGGATCCCACAGTTCAGCCAACTCTCTCTGCTGGACACATGACTCCACCTATACCTCCCTGCAGACACTGCTTTCTCCTAGCCTGCATTGGGCTCCCTAAATGCCCAGTGTGGAGCCTCAAGAGAGGGCCTGTGGCCTGACTTAACCTCTGACTTGTTCAGCACGCTTAGCTCAGGGCCTAGACACAGCAAGTGGTGCAGAGAAACCCGTGGCGTAGTTGGCTGATGTGGTGTTTCTCAAAGCATGTCCTCTGGGACCCATGTGCCACAGACCAGCTTGGCTGTGCACAGTTCCCTTGTGCAGGTTGTTTGGGAACCACTGCAGCCTGAGTCCTCCCGCAGGTTCCCGGGGCACAGGAGCACAGAAGAGGCTGGGCGAGGTCCTGACACTCACAAGCAAACACAACACTTGGGACGATCTTTATTTAACACAGCACTGACTTGTTTTCCACACACATGTGCGCATACACACACACACACACACACACGCAAGCACACCATTCTGCACCTGGGAAAGCGCCCACGATCGTTATGCTGATTCCGAAGGACACCCTTTGGGAAACGCTGACCTAATCCACCTTCCCCGCGTCCGCAGCCCTGGCTTTAGAGGTGAAATGGGGAGAGCTACGAGGTCAAGGTAACAGAGGCGGAGAGCGACCGCGTCTGACCCAGCATCAGGCCTCCTTGCCTTGCGTCCTCAGTGCTCTCCAGTCAACACTCGGCAGCACCCACTGTGTGCCAGGCCTCAGCGTTGGGGCAGGGACTCCAAGCTGGGGCTGAGCCTGTGCCTTGGCTGGGTGCAGAACAGAGGAAATCCTTACTGTCCTGTGAGGGGGGAAGGCTATCATGACATGGCTTTTGCATGCAGGACTTGGAAGGTTTCCTGGAGGAGGTGGCCCTGGAACCCAGCCTTGAAGGATGAGTAAGATTCTGGTAGCTCGAGACAGGACTAGGGAAGTGTTTCAAGCAGAGAGAAGGCCAAGAGTTTCTTTTTTGTTATTGTTCATTAATGGTTTTGAAGTACGGTGCACAAATGCCTTTACACACAGTCATGGAGAGCGAGAGCAATGAGGACACCATGTAACCCGTGTTGCGTGTTCACCACGTGCCACCCACGCCCCAGGAGGGACCCGGGCCAGTTTGCTGCCTGTCAGCCATTTACAGATCAGCTCCCTGAAAGCCCGTTTACCTCAGGGCCAATTCACAGAATCTCCTTGCATCATGCAACTGTCCCCGTGCAGCAGGCCTGCAGATGTTTATATGAAAGAGTGTCCAGTTTGTCTCTGCTTCCTGCTGCCACCGCTGAGACTGAAAAATGGTGAGGGGGGACCCTGACAGGCTAAGCCACCCCTGTATTTATAAAGCAGAGTTGACTTGCAGCACGTTGACCTGGAGTCCCCTGAAGTAAGAGGGGTCGGCGACACCGCAGTACACACGGCTGGCCTCTGCCCTGGAAGACCTCCATAGCACAGGGAGATGGATGGGGCAGCCGAAGTGAGGAGCACAGGGCTCTGGGGTGAGGGGGTGGCCCAAGGAGGCTCCCTGGGAGGCAGTGTGGTGAGCTGTCTGGGGACCATGAAGTCTTGGGGTAAGTGAGGGAGAGGGGATTGGGGGCAAGACGGGAGGAGGGGGAGGAGCAGAGGTCTGGGGAACATGGTTCCCTGGGCAGAAGTGGGGTGCAGGAGGTAAAGGGGGTGAAACATGGGGCTGGAGACACCAACAAGGACCAGAGCTTGGGGGCCTTTTGTGTCTGATCTGCAGTGGACATTTTCCCGGGGATGCCAGTGAGTTCTGGGATGGTTTACACGGTTAACCCGCTCAGTTCCTCTTCCTAGGAAGACCCCTGTAATGGCCTCAGAAGCCCCCTCCATTGCGTGCTTTGAGTATAAACTCTGAGCTCATGTTAGAGCCACCTGTTGGCAGTCCCGCAAGATCCCTTCCAGCAAATTTCAAGGGATTCTTTCATTTTTCAGATGCAAAGGCCCAGAGATGTAAATGGCTTGTTCAGTGTCAGCCTGATTTCACAGGGGAGCCAGAACTTGAACTTGAGCCTTCTGACTCTCAGCTGGTGTACTTTCTGTTATTGCAAAAGACATCAGGGGCTCAGAGAGATCCCCCATCGTCTTCCCTCTGCCTATCCATGCACATGCACAACACACACACACACACACACACATACACACAAAGCACAACACCAGTTCCAGGTACCTGAGAGTTCATCTGAAACCAGTTTTATTTCAGCTCCTGTTTAAAATCTCCTATCATCGTTCCAATTGTCCTTACAAAGCACCATCCAGCAGCTACAAATGGGATTTCTCAACGGAGGGAGCCTGCTGTGGGGCTCACCTTATTTGCCTGGGGTCACGAGGGGTGAGTCCAAGTCTGGCTCTAGAACAAAGGAGTGGCCTTGGCAGTCCTTGCCCGACATCCTGTGGCCTGTGCACTCAGGCAGGGTCTGGCCCCTTGCACCTGTCCTTCCTCTCTCTGCTACCAGGACAGCAGGAAATAAGTGCAAACTTTGCCCTCAGTATTGCTCACTATCCCCAGCCACGCTATAAATAATTAAACACATGGTGCTGTCCCGTCTGGGATGGTGTGGGGGGTGGTGGTGGTGGCTATCCAGTGAGTGTTCCACATTGCTTTCCCAATTGAAACCAAAATTCCTGACAGCTGATATTTAGAGCTGGTTCTGATCCTAAATTTGTTGAGATTTCATCGGACGAGTGGTTCAGCTACTTGGCCACGGCTGACGTCTGAGCCTCCCCTGGGGCCTGGGCCTCCCTGTCACGTGGCTCAGAAACCATCATGTGACCAAGCAGAGGCCCAGAGGCCCACTCAAGGCCTCCTGGGGCCTCCTATGAAAACACCTGGGAGCCAAGGACAAGGCAGGCGTTGGAGGCGCAGACGGCCAGCCCACACGCCTCGGGCTGCAGGCTGACAGGGAGGGCTACAGAGCTGCTTCTCCTAGTACTTGGCCATCGGGAGCTCCAACAGGCAGCTCAGGACCTTTGGCCTTTCTTCGCGGGCCATTTTCTCCTCTTGTTCACTTCTGTGCAGCCCCCAGGGGCACAATTTGGTGGTGGTGGTGTTTGTTCCATGATATATTTTATTATATGTATAAGCTGCTTCAAGTCCTTTGCAGAACAAGGCAATACATAAATAAGTGACAAGCAAGTCCCCTGTTTGCCTGCCAGCCCTGAAATCCCACCTTCTCCACACGCCAGCCCAGGCTTCCACATCTCTCATGGGAACTCCTCCAGTACTCCTGACCAGCTTCTCCTCCATTTCCATCCTCACTCTCCATTCTTTCTCCCTAGGGCAGCCAGAGTGATCACTACTCAACCCTGTTGTAGCAGTTAGAGTTCTGGTTAGCAAGCAACAGGGACTCACTCTGGTTTTCTTGTCACATGCTTCCTCAAAGGAACATACTGGAGAGATGTTGGGGGGCTCCCCAGAGGCAACAGCAGTTGAAACCCTAGGCTGAGACCGTCTTAGCATCAACAGTTGGGCCTGGATCCTGCTGTCACTGGTTGCCGTGAGAACTCATCACTATCCCTTACTGGGCAGAGAAGGAAGTCCGCCCTCTCAAACATTCCGGGCTCAAAGATCTAGGTGGAGGGACTACCCAGCCCCTCTGGGCTCACAGCCTGTGCCTTGGATGCTTGGTCTGCCATTGACCCAGGCTGGGCACACTTTTCCATCAATAGTGCACAAAACAGGGGATTCAAGTAGGAAGGACGGTCAGGAGCCACACTATCAACATTGCATCAATATGCACAACCCTGGTTCATATCTCCCATTGTTCCTAGACTGAAATCCAGGTTCTTTAGCAAGGCCGAGGAGAGCCTGCCTGCTCTGGCCCATGCCTCCCTCTCCAACTACTTCTCCCTCTCACCAGCCCCCTCTGCCTGGTTCCAGCCAACAGTCTTGTGGGGCATTGCACAAACTAAGCGCTGGGCCTCCTGGGGGACTTTGTACGTGGACTCTCTTTGCCTGGAATGCCCTCTCCCTTTGCCCAGGGCTGGATCTTCCTTATCGTTCTCTCCTCAGCTCCTCAGAGGCCTCCCCGATCCAGCTATCCGAAGTAGGTCATTCCTTTACAGTGTCTTTCATAACAACACCATCCGAAGTGACTTCATGGATGTGTTTATGGCTTTTTGTCCAGATCCCTGTCGAACAGACCTCAAACTGCATGCAGGCAGAGACCCGCTGGCCTCGCTCTCTGCCAAATGCCCCGTATGTGGCAGGCAGCCCTGCACAGCGTGCCTGTTTGTGGACAGAGTGAACATGTCCCTGGCAATGGGGACGCAAGGGTAAACCAGGGACAGCCCCTGACCTCAAGGGGCAATCTGTAGCCTGAGGGGATGTGGACACTTAAAACAAGCCAGGTCACATGTGACAGGTCAGTCATGTGCCAATACAAGCGTGGTGAGGGGTCAGCAGTGCCAGCTCTGGCTCTAAGAAACCACAGGATACCGCAGATCCCCACAATCACCTCCCACCACAGCTGGGGGAGTTAGAGAGGGCTCCCACCCACATGGCCTCCATGGGCATGGGACCAGTGAATCACACAGGGCCTCACACTCAGAAGGGCCTTGTGCTTGGGGTTTGATGCTCAGAAATGGCTGTCTTGAAATTCTTAGTCATTTAATCTCCAAACATGAATCCCAGTGTGACAATGGAGCCTGCCCAGGGCCTCGGGCTCGCACAGGGTCCTGCCTTCCATTTCCTGCCCCCTGCCTCTCCTGGACGTGTGCTCCAAGGCCCACTTGTCCATCCCCAGGGTGCATCCTCTTCTTGCTCTCACCCAGTGACTGAGGTCACCTTCTGGTCCCTAAGAGGGCTTGGATGCTGTCTGGGGAAGGCCCAGGTCAGGTGAGGGAACCACCAGCATCTAGCGGCAAGCCTGGAGGGGCTGTCCTCACCCTTGGGCCATGGACAGGGAAATTCACCAGGTGACTGGAGTGGCTGCAGGGAGAAGCCTCCCCCGAGGTGCCTGCATGTCTCTGCATGGAGGGTGCCATCTGCTGAGCTTGGGCTGGTAGCCAGGTGGGAAGGGCAAACATCTGGCTCGACTTTGTGCTCCTGGTGGGGCATAGTACATTGGTCTGGGGGCTGTAGGGATGGGAAGCTGGTGGCCACAGGCAGGTGCAGGGGCCCACTGAGCTGCAGGGGTGCTGAGTGACTGGGAGTGTTTGCACCCATCCTGCGAATATCCCCATGCCCAGGAGAGTGGGACATTGCATGGCAAGTAGAGAGCACCATGCCGGGTAAAGAGGCCACGGAAGTTACGAAAGACCTTTCTATTCTAATAGGTTTCATGGTGTTCCCCTCACTGTTGAAACAAGGAGCCTGTGTTTGTGTCCCTCAGCAGGCTCAACAGATTACGTGGCAGGTCCTGCCCCCACCTTCCACTCCCTTTGTGGAGCCCCATCCTGGCGGAGGGAGGAGATGGAGCTGAGGGAGGGGCACCTGCAGCAGTGGCAGGCCAAGCCCTGATTCTGAGCCCGTGGTGGGATGTTTAATCCCCATGACAGCTCTATACAATCCAGATGATGATGATGACTGATGATCATCATCATAATGATGACATCGACTTGTGAACCAGGACATTGAGGTTCTATAGATGGAAAGAGCACTGAACTGAGAGTCCGGAAGCCAGGGTGTGCATTTTACCTCCAGCATTGCCTGCAGTGTGACCTAGAGCAAATCTATAAGACTCAGTTTCTTCATCCGTGAATTGCCGTGATTTTAACTACCGCACAGTGGCTGCAGGTGGTCCCCTGAGACCACCTAACCCAAATCCCCCACTGTAGAGAGCAGTAAATCGGCTCTGACTTCAGCTAAGTTGCACTCTCTGGGCTTCTGCACCCCACCCTCTACTGTGCCCAGGACCCACCTGAAGGTACAGTAAGGGTAACAGAAGTAAATGCAGTGTGTGGACTTTTTGGTTTACGAGGGTTCTGTTTCTATTCTAGGTAACAGGCCCCTCGTGCTGAATTTTGGCAGCTGCACCTGACCTTCATTTCTTTCCAAATTTGACCAATTCAAGAGACTTATCCAAGACTTCAGTTCCATAGCAGACTTTCTCATCATTTACATCGAAGAGGCACACGCATCTGGTACAGACCCTGCCTCTCCCTCCTTGCTCCTCCCCCCACCCCAGCCCATCACCAGCTCATAGAGAGGAGGAAGGGAAAGAGGACTCTCCATTGAGCGCTCACCATCTCCCGGGGCCTAGCTTCACCCCGCAGGCGCTTTCAAGCTGGTCACAGTAGCAGCCCAGGGAGCAAGGCCTGGCCGGGAGACAGCTCTCACCTCCTGAATGGGAACTCCAGGGCAAGGAAGGGACCTGAGCACTTTAGAGGGAATACAGACGTAAAATGTCACAGTGCTGGTCCAGCTGTCTGTAAGATGCAGCCTAAGACTTACAGGGACATTATGGGGCCGTGCGTTTGGAGCACACATAAAGTCATCTCTTGGGACAGCTGTGGCAGGTGACAGCTCAAGTATTTGGGTCCCTATTACCCAAGTGGGAGACCTGGATGGAGTTTAAGCTGCTGGCATTAGCCTGGCCCAGCAATGGCTGAAGTGGGCATTTGGGGAGTGAACCATAGGATGGAAGATCTCTCTCTCTCTCTCTGTCTTTATCTGTCTTTCTGCCTTTCAAATAAAATGAATACAATTTAAATTTAAACTAAAAGTCAAAACTTAAAACAAAACAAAAAACCAAAAAAAACCCCAGGGGCTTTTTTTACAGTTCATCCCCAGTTGACAGCTCCTGAACCTTGGTGAGTATCAGAAGCAACCGGTGGGGCCGGCGCTGCGGCTCAGCTGGTAAAGCTGCTGCTTTCAGTGCCGGCATCTTATATGGGTGGCAGTTCCAGTGCCGGCTGCTCCACTTCCAATCCAGCTCTCTGCTATGGCATGGGAAGGCAACAGAGGATGGCCCAAATCCTTGGGCCTCTGTACCTACATGGAAGACCTGGAAGAAGCTCCTGGCTCCTGGCTTCAGATCAGCACAGCTCCAGCTGTTGTGGCCATCTGGGAAGTGAACCAGCAAATGGAAGACCTCTTTCTCTCTCTCTCTCTCTCTCTCTCTCTCTCGCTGCCTCTGCCTCTCTGTAACTCTGCCTTCAAATAAACAAATAAATCATAAGAAAGAAAGAAAGAAAGAAAGAAAGAAAGAAAGAAAGAAAGAAAGAAAGAAAGAAAGAAAGAAAGAGAGAGGAAGGAAGGAAGGAAGAGACATCCAGGCCACCCCTGGGGTGGGCAGACCTGGGATGAGGGCCTGAGAATGTGCATTTCTCACGAGTTCCAGCGAGGCTGGGGCTGCTGGGCTGCTGGGCTGGGCCCACCCTTTGAGAACCACTCTCTAGGCCAACTCTCCCCTGGGCTGGTAGCCCTTTCTGCAGCCACAGCAAGTGGTCTCCTGCCTTCATTACTTCCCAGGAAATCTTGTTCCTCTCCTGGACAGCCCTTCCTAACAGTGAGCAGCCGTGTCCCCTGTGGACCATCGACCTCAAGCTCTTTAAACTGTGCAAAATGGTCAGACACACTCTCAACTCCCAGACTTAGATTGCTGGAGATAAGAAAGCCAGCAAAATCCCTTCAAAGGGACAAACCCATGATTTGGGTGCAAGTCTCAGAGCCAGGGGTTGAAGCAGGCCAGAAGGCTCATGTGTCTGATGGGAGAGATGCTGTCTGATTGGTCCGTGTCACCCAGCACCTGGCAGAGTCCATGTCATGAAGTCAGAGCTCTGGAGGAGTTGAGTGATGGAGTGATCGGTGAGGCCAGCGTTAGCCTTGCTGGTTTGTGCATTTGAGAGCAAGGTTGCTCTGGGTTAACTTCTCACCCAAGCTGGCATCGTAGTGCTCTTCCCAGCGTGATCCCCAGATCCCTGGTATCACATCTGGGTTGCCTGATGAAATGCACACCCCAGGGCCTCTTAGTGTATATGCACATAATGGTTTTACAACTGCTCTTTTTAAGATTTATTTATTTATTTATTTAAAAGTCAGAGTTACACAGAAGCAGAGGCAGAGAGAGACAGAGAGAGAGGTCTTCCATCTGCTGGTTCACTCCCCAGTTGGCCACAACAGCTGGAGCTGTGCCAATCTGAAGCCAGGAGCCAGGAGCTTCTTCCAGGTCTCCCATGTGGGTACATGGGCCCAAGGACTTAGGTCTTATTCTACTGCTTTCCTAGACCACAGCAGAAAGCTGGATCAGAAGTGGAGCAGCCAGGACCCAAATCGGTGCACATATGGGATGCTGCATAAGGCAGCAGCTTTACCTGCTACACCATAGCGCCGGCTCCCACAACTGCTTTCAACTTCATACTGTATTCATTCCACTCTCAGCTTCTGGCCTCACAAAGACTTCAGGACACTTAAAATGTTAAAAGCATGGGGGCCAGGCATTTGGTGTAGCAGTTGAGGTGCTGCCTGGGACACCTGCACCCTGTATCTTCCCCTCCCTAGCTCCCGCCCCAGGGTCTGTGTTTTTGTCCATCAGACAGAATTAGGTATGGCCTGACCTTCAGAAGTCAAGTGCACAGAGCCAGTTCCACCAGTCCCAGCAGGGCTGAGGGCTGTGGCCTAAATCAGCCGGTTTCCTCTTCACACACCACGTGTTTGTCCAGGTAGAATATAGGCAGACATGAGCCATGGTAGGAAGCTTGCAGATTTCGCAGCCCCACACCTGGGTGTAAGTCCTAGTGCCGCAGGTGCTGGCCACATGCACCTGCAAACCCCCTTTCTGTGCCTGTTTTTGAAGCAATAAAATGGGATGACGACACCTTCCTCACAGAACCACCATTCAACAATAGTTAATGACAACCTGGAGGCTGCTGTGTTGCTCCAGGGAGCTGTCGGGAGGGCAGGGCTGCCTCAACATGCCACGAATGCAAGCTGGTGTTATTTGTCATCAGCAAGTTTGAGGCTAAGTAATAGCACTTTGGCCAGGCATTTGTATCTTGGTGTGGATTTCTCTGGAGAGCTGGTTTTGCTAGGGGAAGGCTTCTGAGTAAGACACTGCGGAAGCACGGAGGAGGTGGAGCCAACCTATCGGCACACTGAGATACCTCACCTGGCCACAGAAGCCTCTGGTTCTAGACAGGCCACCTGACTTCCCAGAGAGCCTGTGGTTACATCATCTGGTTCTGGGGTCCCCAGCAATGGAGCAAGTAAATGGGCAAGGCCATTGGCAGTTGATATTTCTCTTCCAATTTAGGGGCCCACTATTGTGAGTCTCTAAAGGACAGGTGGGAGTAATGGGTTGGAAGATGTGTCATTAGGAGACAGGAAGGCCGCTTAGGTGGAGATAAAACAAGGGTCATTTCCAGGTTAGCAGCTGCACTTGGCTATGAGCCTGCCCTGAGTGGCTTGCGACTGTCAGTAGAGCGAATGCAACATCAGCTGTAGTAGCAGAAGTCCTGGTACCCAAATCAATCAGCTCACATGGTGGGGGAGCCGGCTGCTTGGATGAAGTAGACAGACGCATATGATAGCTTGAGGAGGGGTGAGCCAAGGACTCCATCCACCCGCCTGCAGCATAGAGCTGGGGGGACGGCTGCCAAGAGGGTACAGGAGCCAGGTCACCAAGAGCCTGGGGACCCCATGAAGGAGTTGGGATTTACCCCAAGGCAAGAGGGAGCTCCAGATAGAGCTAAACTGGAAGTGACTTGGTCAGATACCCTTTTTGGAGAGAGCACTGTGGTGAGCACTAGTTCCTAAACTTTAGTGTGCGGCAAAATCATCTGGAAGTCTGCTGTAAAACAGATTGCTGGGCCCCATTCCTGGTTGGTCCAGTGAGGGGTCTGGGTACTTGCATTAGCAAAAAGCTGATACAGCTCCTCCGGGACCAAACACCTAAACAGCCACTGCTCTAGACTCTTACTTTATTTACTTTTTTTTTTTTTTTTTTTGACAGGCAGAGTGGACAGTGAGAGAGAGACAGAGAGAAAGGTCTTCCTTTGCTGTTGGTTCACCTTCCAATGGCCGCCGCGGCCGGCGCACCGTGCTGATCTGATGGCAGGAGCCAGGTACTTATCCTGGTCTCCCATGGGGTGCAGGGCCCAAGTACTTGGGCCATCCTCCACTGCACTCCCTGGCCACAGCAGAGAGCTGGCCTGGAAGAGGGGCAACCAGGACAGAATCCAGCGCCCTGACCAGGACTAGAACCCGGTGTGCCGGCGCTGCTAGGTAGAGGATTAGCCTAGTGAGCCGCAGCGCCAGCCATTTATTTACTTATTTTTGGGAGTCTGAGACAGACAGATCTTCTGTCCATTACTCCCCAAATGCCTGCAAAAACAGCTGGAGTTAGGAAGCCAGGAGCTGGGAACTCACTCTGGGTCTTCCACATCGATGGCAGGGACCCAAGTACGGGCGCCATCCCCTGCTGCCTCCCAGAGCCTGCATTAGCAGGAAGCTGGACTCAGGAGCCGCGGCTGCCATCAAACTCAGGCACTCTCATGTGGGAGGCAGGTGTCCTCATCACTGGGCTAACCACCCACTCCCTGCTCTAGACTCTGGCCTCTCAAAGTATGGTCAGTGCCATCCTAGACGCACTGTCTCAGAATCCTGCTGTAATGAGGTCCCTGAGTGATTCATCCAGAAGCATGGCTCTGGGTCACCTCACATGGGGGAGCAGAGGCTTGCAGTCAGGAGCCCTGGGCTTCAGTGCGGATCAGTCAGTAACTCCCTGTGCGACCTTGCTTGTTCACGCACAACAGGAAACTGGGCCACTTCACGGCCGAGGGCTCCTCTGTCTGGCACTCTGAGTTATAAGTGGGGGTTGTTTAGTCTGTAGGAAGTGTGTGCCAAGCCTGTGGGGCCGGGGCCTGGCCTTTCTCTTGTAGATGGCTGGGCTTTTAAGAACAACGTGGACATCAAGAATCACCGGAACCTGCAGGATCGCCTGAGGGCAGCCAGCCTGCTGCTGGCCAGAAGTCCCCAGTGCCCCGTGGTGGTGGACACGATGCAGAACCAGAGCAGCCAGCTCTACGCCGCACTGCCCGAGAGGCTCTACGTCCTCCGGCAGGGCAGGATCCTCTACAAGGTGGTAACCTGGGAACAGGAGGCCCTGGGAGGCCAAAGGGGGCCCCGGGAGGGCCAGGGCAAGCACGGGGCTGTGTGTCAGGGATACCTGCATTTGCCTCACTGCCCAGTCACTGACCACGGTGGAGTCCTTTCCCCTCACAGAACTTCCATCTCTTCTGCAAAATCAGAGTGCTGTTCCCAGCACACGGGAGATGCAACTGTGCCCATAAAAGGCATTTGGACTGGGTCAGCCTCCTGAGTCCAGGTGACTGGCCCGGCCCTGGCTTGGTTCAAGCTGAGACAGAAAGGCAGTGTTTCCATTTTCTAAATGATGCTCTGAGAGGGGAATTGACGTACCCGAGGTCTCACTAGACAAGGCTCTGATTTCAATTCGGAATCCCCTGGATGGGCTGGCAGGAGTGGGAGGCTTGGCGGGTGCTGATCCAGGAGGCAGGCCTCACCTTGGAGGGTGGGCACGGGAAATAGTCAGGAGCTGCAAACATGGGAGCCGGGCTTCAAGATCTCCCTCTCCTGAGATACGATCCTCAGACAGCCCGAGGCAAGGTGGGTGCTGAGCCCCTGTCCTGGGTTAGGCTTTGTGCAAGTGCTGGAAACTGGAAGATGTATTAAAAGCACCCACACTAACTTTGCTCACGGCCTGTGGGGGATGGTCAGGAAGACCTAGGGAGAGTGGTGCAGGCATCCCCAGTGCTGAAGGATGCCAGGGCAGGGGTCTGCAAACCTTTCCTGGAAAGGACCAGGTAATCAGTATTGCTGACCTTGTGGTCCAAATTGCGCTGCCCTGGCTGCAGATTTCTTGACCCCCCCCACCCCCACCCCACCCCACCCCTGGGGCAGGGCAGGCTTTTCAGAGGGTGTGGCAATTGCTTGGGCCTTCAAGGTGAAGGAGTTGGCCAAATGAGCACAATGAGTGAAAATCATTGCAAATACAGGGAAGAGGGTGGGTAGGGGCACAGAGGTAGATTAGAGAGGACGGGGAATAGAGAATTGGGGACATCTGGATGACAGGGGTCTGGTTTGGCACAGAAGAGCCATATACAGGGGTTTTGAGCAGAGAAATGTCTGCTTTAGAAAGATGATAGGCTACCGGGTGAAGAGCAGCCTGAGGGTAGCAGGGACTGGACCTGGGCACAGGAGGGGTGGCAGCTGCCCAGGGAAGGGATAAAGAGGGCTGAGCCAGGGAAGAGGCATGGCAGAGGCAGCGGAGGCCAGCCCGCCTGACATCTGACAGCAGTCGAAATGCTCCTCTTCTTTCTTTCCCCTCCTGAAACTCCAAGTCAGTTTACCTCCTCTAGCTTCATTCTCAGTCCAGCCTCCCCACCACCAGTGGGGGCTCCTCACCTTACTTTCCCTGGGTGATCTTTCCCATCTCGTGGTTGTCTCTGCTGGTGACCACACGGTACCGTCGACTCCCACAGATTTGGTGGCCGGTGCCAGCCCCACACACTGCTGACACATTGGACATCTGGGAGTGCACGGTTCCTTTCTCTTGCAGGGTGAGTCTGGCCCTTGGAACTACAACCCAGAGGAGGTCCGTGCTGTTCTGGAAGAGCTCCACAGTTAACGTGCACAGAGCCCCTGTTCCAGGCGACCAACAGGAGGGCTCCTCAAGGCGTGGCTGTCCCCTTAACCCAGCCGGCTTCTGCCTGTGACTGTGTTCCCGGCTGAATCACTAGCTCAGATTTTTCTGCTCCAAGTAAACATTTCCCAACCAGGGAGTGCATCCAATCAAGATGGATGGCTGGAATCAGAAAATGGAATGGCCCTTGGGCTGCTGCTCATGGCCCAGAGTGTTAGAGCCCCCACAACACCATGTGGCTCCCACGATGGGGACACAGACCTGGCATGGCATCGTCCCCAGCCTGCTTCTGTGCTGTGGCCCTCCAGCTGCCCCCTGCCCAGCAGGGTCTGATGGCATCCATGTGTCAGATCCCGTCATTCAGCCAAATTTGCCATTCATGGGATTGGTCATTCAAGACACTAACTTGGTTTTTAGAACACAGCATGGGAAGAATTCTTGATGCTAAAGACAGATGAGGACTTGGAAGAGGGGAGGGTTAGAACAGAAGAATCCTTTCCTTGTCAAAACGCTGTAGCCAGTTGGCATGGTACTGGCGCTGGCACTGGCGCTGGGGAGGTATGAGTGTCCACAGTAACACATCTCCAATTCTAACAGGACGAGCAGAGAACTCACTTTACCATCTTTGAGTACATTTCAAGGAAATCTGGCTTCTACTCTGGAATCTTTCACTACTGTCACCCTTCAACGGGCATCTGAAGGGGAAACCTGGCTTTCTAAAGCAAGCATGACAACCTTGACCAACCCAGGCAACAGGCACCGTGAGCACTGCCACTCAACTGGGCAGAAACTCCGTATCTGAAGTCCTCTTTCTGATTCTTTTACAAGTCTCTTAGTGGTCACTGAGTGCATCAGCCTAGTGGATAACCACTGGGGTTCATGTGTTTTAACTCTGCTTCTTTCATATTTGCTCATGACGGCCACAGCTTAAAGCACCTACGGTTGTGGCTTGATTTGAAAGAAAATGTTTTAAGAGGCAGCAAGCTAAAGCAGAATGATTAAAATCTCCCAGCCTATTTGGTACAGCTTCCGTGTGATCTTTGTGTCAGCCTCATCTGCCTCATGTTGTAGCCCAGTGTAACCCGACCAGCAAAAGTGCTGCACGGCTGGAAGGCCTCACACTGTGGGGAGGAACACCCAGTGTTTCTGGGTGATGTGAAAGGTGGGTTTGTGCAGACTCCTGCTGGAGGGAAATGCTTTTTCACATGGAATCAAACTGCCTTCACAGCACATGGCAGAATGGACGTGGGAGACACCTTCCTCGCATGGAAACACATCCTCTCTGGCTCTGCAAGTAGTGGCTATGATGTTATTACTAGTGTTATCTTTACATTTTTTTTAGGATTTATTTTATTTATTTGAGAGGAAAAGTTAGAGAGAGAGATAGAGAGAGATCTTCCACCCACTGGTTCACTCCCCAAATAGCTACAATGGCCAGGGCTGGGCCAGGCCAAAGCCAGGAGCCAGGAACTTCTGAGTCTCCCACGTGACAAGCAGTTGGACCATCTTCCTCTGCTTTCCTAGACACATAGCAGGGAGCTGGATCTGAAGTGATCAGCCAGGGTGAACCGGCGCCCATATGGGATGCCAGCATTCCAGGCCAGGGCTTTACCTGCTACACAACAACCCCAGCCCTGGCATTTACACTTATAAAAATAGTTACTAATCATCTACTGGCACAGGCACTTTCAGGTAGGTTCTCATTTAGTCTCTCCTTTTTTGAAAACCGTTATTATTATGCCCATTTTACAAGACAAAACCAAGGCTCAGAAAGTTGAGTAGCTACAAGTTCTCACAATGAGTAAGTTACAAACCAAGGTTCAAACCCCATACCCCAAAGCCTGGGTCCTGGCTTTGATGTGTGACTTCAATTGTTTGAACTGTAAAATGAGACTTCAACAGCACCTCTCCATAAGGGATTCTTTTTTTTTTTATTTTTTTTTTTATTTTTTTATTTTTTTGACAGGCAGAGTGGACAGTGAGAGAGAGAGACAGAGAGAAAGGTCTTCCTTTTGCCGTTGGTTCACCCTCCAATGGCCGCCGCTGCAGCCGGCGCACCGCGCTGATCCGATGGCAGGAGCCAGGATCCAGGTGCTTCTCCTGGTCTCCCATGGGGTGCAGGGCCCAAGCACCTGGGCCATCCTCCACTGCACTCCCTGGCCACAGCAGAGAGCTGGCCTGGAAGAGGGGCAACCGGGACAGAATCCGGCGCCCCGACCGGGACTAGAACCCGGTGTGCCGGCGCCGCAAGGTGGAGGATTAGCCTAGTGAGCCATGGCGCCGGCCCATAAGGGATTCTAAGGGAAGCTCTCAGAACTGTGCCCAGCTTGGAGAAAAATGGCTTAGAAATTTTGGCTCTGCCTCCTTGGGCCCCCTTGTTGGGGGTTGGGAGGTAGGACGGAAGATCAGGAAAGCAGGGATACTAAATAAAAACTCTCCATCCTGCAAAGTGAGCAAGACAAGCCTGAGGCTGAGTTGCACTGAGGATGAGCAGCTGCGAGAATGGAGAGACTGGAGCACAGCTGAGAACCATACGAGCACTCGCGAGGGTCACTTCCCAGGTGGCCCTCCAATTCAGGTCTACACCTGCACAGACACTGCCAGGCTCCAACAGGTGCCAGGAGCCAGAAATGAGTTGTTCTTAAAAAAAAAAAAAAAAAAAAAAAACTTATTTGTTTGTTTGTTTGCAGGGCAGAGTTACAAAGAGAGAGAGAGAGAGGTCTTCCATTTGTTCGTTCACGCCCCAAAAGGGCAAAATAGCTGTGGCTGGGCCAAGTTGACACCTGGAGCCCAGAGCAAATCTGGGTCTCCCACATGGGTGCAGGGGCCCAAGCACTAGGACCATCTTCCTCTGCTTTCCCAGGTGCATTAGCAGGGAGCTGGAGCAGAAGCAGAGGAACAGCCGCACCTTGAATCAACACTCCAATATGAGATGCTAGTGTCACAGGCCCCCTGAGAAGTTTTCTGAATGATAAAAGAAATTCTAGGCTTCTCAATTCAATTTGATGGGGAGGAGGCAGGGAGTCACTGGGGGACAAGGAGCTGCGGACTGCCAACACCCAAGCCATGTGCACTGCCCAAATCCTATCACCTTCCATGTGGACTCAACATGGCTGCAGACTGCCAATCACCCCTCCTCAAGCAGGTAAAGCTCTCTTTTCCTCAGACACCAGACACCAGTGCACCTTCTTGGAGATCACCATGAGCACTGCAGCCCCTCCCCAGACTCTGACTCCTTTGATCTTCAATCAGGCACTGCCCGGGCACCATTGTTACCCCAGTCTGGGTGGGGGCACCTGAATGTGTACTAGCCCTTTGCCTATCAATAAATCCTGGTTTTCTGTTCTTTTTCCTTAAAGATTTATTAATTTATTTGAAAGGCAGAGTCACAGAGAGAGAGAGGAAGAGAGACAGGGAGAGATTCTCCATCTGTTGGTTCACTCCCCAAATGGCTACAACAACCGGGGCTGGGCCAGGCCAAAGCCAAAAGCCATGTGGGTTCAGGGCCTAAGGACTTGGGTCATCCTCTCCTGCCTTCCCAGGAGCATCAGCAGGAAGCTAGATCTGAAGTGGAGCAGCAGAGACCCGAACCAGCATGCACATGGGATGCCAGTGCTGCAGGCTGTGGCTCAACCTGCCACTCCACAGCACAGTCCCTCTTTTTTCTTTTAAAGATTTATTTATTTAAAAGGCAGTTACAGAGAGGAAGAGACAGAGAGAGAAATCTTCCATCCACTGTTTCATTCCCAAATGGCCACAGCACCAGTCCCTCTTTTTTCTTTTAAAGATTTATTTATTTAAAAGCCAGTTACAGAGAGGAAGAGAAAGAGACAGAGATCTTCCACCCACAGTTTCATTCCCAAATGGCCACAAAGCCAGGGTTGGGTCAGACAGAAGCCAGGTGCCTGGAAATCCAAGTACTTGGGCCAATTTCCACTGCCGACCCAGGTGCAGTGGCAAGATCTACATCTACTGTTCACCTCTCTCTACATCTCCTGGTTGTATTCTCACATGCAGGAAAACAAGAACCTGGACCAAGTCTAACTGGAGGTCTCTACAAGCCCAGCTACTTTCTTTTTTCTTTCTTTCTTTTTGACAGGCAGAGTGGACAGTGAGAGAGAGAGACAGAGAGAAAGGTCTTCCTTTGCCGTTGGTTCACCCTCCAATGGCCGCCACGGCTGGCATGCTGCGGCCGGCGCACCACACTGATCCGATGGCAGGAGCCAGGTACTTATCCTGGTCTCCCATGGGGTGCAGGGCCCAAGGACTTGGGCCATCCTCCACTGCACTCCCTGGCCACAGCAGAGAGCTGGCCTGGAAGAGGGGCAACCGGGACAAAATCCGACGCCCTGACCGGGACTAGAACCCGGTGTGCCGGCGCCGCAAGGCGGAGGATTAGCCTAGTGAGCCACGGCGCCGGCCAAGCCCAGCTACTTTCAATTCCCATAATATAATCGGGGGGTCTCCACTGCAATAAATTCTCCTCAGTTTAAAGCCTCAAACATTAACTGGACACTGCTTCTTTTCTTGGTGCAGAGTGATGCAGATGGACAGGAGGAGCTGGGACTCGAACCGGGCACTGCTACATAGGATGCATTCCAAGTGTGCCACAGTACCTCTTCCCCGCATTCCTTTCCTTAGCTCTGCCAACTCACCTTTCTCCCTCTGTGTCATTTTTTTCTTTGAATTTGTTTCTCTTTGAGCAGTTCTTGTCATTCTGAAAGATAACTACAGGCTTCAACTCAACATGTTCTTTGTTTAATCTCTCTTGCAACAAATGTTCTGTATTTGCCTCATTTAAAAAACTTTTGCTTTCTAGATTTTTCTCTTTTTTCTTTTTTTAAAAAGATTTATTTATTTACTTGAGAGAGAGTTAAAGACAGAGGGAGGGAGAGATAGAGAAGGAGGTCTCCCATCCACAGGTTCACTCCCCAAAAGGCTGCAATTCTTTTGGATCTCCCACATGGGTGCAGAAGCCCAAGCACTTGGGCCATCTTCTGCTGCTTTCCCAGGCCATCAGCAGGGAGCTGGATCAGAAGTGGAGCAGCTGGGGACATGAACCAGTGCCCATATGGGATGTGAGTGCTACACACAGATGCCCAACCTACTATGCC